AATTTTGCTATAGAACCTACTAACCACTAGGGCTAAATGCCGACCTAAATCCGACCAGGAATTTTGGGGATTGCTCTATAAAAATCATATTTAAGGATCAATTCAGATGGTCGGATTACGGATCGATTCCCTAGTCAAAAGTGTAATTACTGGATGAGGACTCCGTTGATTTAATTGGCCGATTAAAAGAACATTTAACTAAATGTAAAAGGCTTCTGAACCTTCACGATTCTGGTTTTACAATGTCATTAAGTAATATTTGCAATACATATTGTAGGTCTTGACTTTCAATATCAATAAATATAGTATATACGTATTGAATGCAGAGTGCGTATTGATAAAAAAATAAAAAAATTAAGTGCATTTTTATAACTCCTTCATACGATAAAAAAATTTAGAATAAATAAAATCAATTATAAAAAGATAAATCTTTCTCTGAAACTGAATTAACCGATCAAAGGCGGTAGTTTAAATTCCAGCCAAATTTCAAACCAGCCACTGAAGTTTTAAACCATTTTTTAAAACAATAAAAAATGTATAAAAAACTGTTTAAAACGTTTTTTTACTATCCCTAGTTTAACCCAACTGACCTTAATACCATTCTCAAAATTTTGGGCCAAAGCTCTGCCTAAACTATGAGGCAAATTTTAATTTGTAGCATTTACTATATATTACACCATATCTCATAAGTTTCAGTTTTTATGTGTATTAAAATGAGCTACTCAGCCAACTCTAACTCAAAAGTTTATATACAGTATCATTTATTAGTTCAGTGCAAAAGTGCTATGGACTCTTGTAGCTATTATCATAATTCCTGGGACACCTGTAAAAATTTGCCGAATGATTTTTCAGCCGATCCGATTAAGTTATTGATTCGGCATGATCCGTATAATAAAACAATAATTAATAAAAGTATCATAATGATCATTTACGATTGTCATGTCAACCAATAAACTTTAACAATAAATGTAAAAAGGAATCGAATATAAATTAGACTTTTATAACAAATATATTACTCGAACAGGTGCCGCTATTAAAAAAGTTGAATATTATCATGAATTTGTCGACTGGTTTAAAAATGAATCTCAGGTTAGGATTCCAAGCGACCAAAATATTATTAATAGTTGTCGAGAATGCGTGAAGAATTATGATGAACGAAATCATAGTGATCTTGTCAAAGAATAGGAATCGAAATTTAATTCAATTTTTTAAAAACCAATCTTCGTTGTAAATAATTAGAAATGAATAAAGGCTTCGTTTGAACGAAAAATGGATCTTGCCAAGAATAGGAATTGAAATTTGCACAATTTTTTAAAACAGAATTTTCGTTGAAAATAATTAGAAATGTATAAAGGCTTCATTTGAACGAAAATGGATCTTGCCAAAGAATGGGAAATTTTACACAATTTTTTAAAACCAAGGCTTCGTTTGAACGAAAATGGATCTTGTCAAAGAATAGGAATTGAAATTTGCACAATTTTTTAAAACCGAATTTTCGCTGAAAATAATTAGAAATGAATAAAGGCTTCGTTTGAACGAAAATGGAACTTGCCAAAGAAATTTTACACAATTTTTTAAAAACCAATTTTTCACCTTCGACAAGAAATAAATAAAGGCTTCGTTTGAACGAAAATGGACCTTGCTAAAGAAGGAATTGAAATTTTACACAATTTTTTAAACCCGAATTTTTTCGAAATTAGAAATGAAGGCTTCGTTTGAGCGAAAATGGATCGTGCCAAAGAATAGGAATTGAAATTTACGACTTACAAGTGAATGTCGATATTTAGTCTTATTGTAATCTATATTAACGCACCTAGTATCACCACCAAAATTATGTACGTACGTAATCGGTTTTTAAATCTAAGCACAATAATAACAGAATCACAAGATTTTTGAAAAAAACAATTGAAGTTTTTTTTTTTTTTTATTCAAATTATTTATTGAAATTTACTTAATTACCACTGCAAACATTAAGTCGAATTACATTCAATTCAAACATTTAAATGCATTTATATTCAAATTCAAATTTTTAATACTACCAGTAAATGTGTTTTTGTTACGATCACTCCAAGTTTTGAAAGTTTTTTTGCTTGTTCGAAATCTTAAAAGCCATCCACCATTTTTTGGATAGGTTTAAAGTTTGTTCAATGCTTCGAATAGAGATGTGCCGTATGCATTTTGCAGGTGATGTTCCAGATCTGTTTCCACTATATAAATCTAATATTTTATATTTTTAAAGCCAATAACCTCTCAGAAATAATACAAAGTCTGTTTACTACATATAGCTTTTGAGGGGCCATAGTATATTATACAGAATTGCATAATGCATGCGACATAATGCTGCATTATATGATGCAAAGCTAAAAAAACTTGCATTCGCGCATCTCTAGCTTCGAACCAATTTTTTTTTTTTTTTTTAGAAAGATTATTAGATTTTTCAACGCCAAAAACATAATAAAATACACTCTACCCTAGTTAAAACGAACCCCGATATAACGGATATCTTATTATAACGGAGTAATTTTCTAAAACAATTAAAATTATTATTATTGTATAATATAACATTATAACGGATATCCATTTATTATGGATATAATGAATAAAATCTTTCAGCCCGAAGGGTCCGTTATAACGAGGGTAGAGTGTATATTTATATAAACATGAAAACATGGTGATGATAAAAAAATCTTTATACTTCATGAAGGGGTTTTTTTTGTGCTTTCTTAAAATTTCAGATTTGATTCTATACTCGATTCCTCAATAATGGTTCCTTCTCAGTCATAATTTAGTTCTCTATTGCGTTGTTTACTTTCATCATTGTTTTTTTTTTCCTTATTTTTTTGAGTTCATAGCTATAGGTAGGATCCGTGACTAACCACGATTAAATGAAGTTCGGATAATGGCAGTAAACTTGGTTTTGTGAAGGCCCGGCCCAACCCACCCGATTCCGGACCCTATTAGCTTGACACCGACTCGGTAGCCTGTCTATTTGGTCGTCATAGCCAAGGGTGGTACGTATAGTGATTATCGGGTTCCGGCCAGCGATTTTTAGGTTCGAATTCGGTTTGCACAAAACCGGAACATTAAACACGCCATTTTTTTGATCTACATATTTTTTAATAAGCACAAAAATCATCTGATATATCTTAATCTCCCGACTTTTTATATGATATTTCGCTAATATATTTATAGTCGAGTAAAATCATTTTTCTTATAACTCAAAAATTCCAAAATGAACGTTATACGATATATTTTATTACTCGTTACCTTTATCATCTTGGCAGTAAATTCTTTTCCAATCCAAGGTAAACTTAGTGTCAACAATATGCATACTATATATAATGTGTGTGAAATTTACTTATTTTTTATTTAATAGATTCTTCTGAAAACGCTACAATGATACCAATGATGCCAATGATGCCAATGACGCCGATGACAATGATGCCTAAACCAACCTGCACTTCTAATTGTCAATATCCTTATCATACATAACTCCTCATAAGGAACCAATTTACCTGTCTATACTGACTGTTTATCCTATTTACACTAGTCTATTCTGAATCTGTTTATTCTGTTTACATTGAATATTTATAACTTTTGAATAATAAGTTGTTATTTGTTACCAAGAAAAAATGTATAATGCATAGTAATAAAACAAAATAAGGTGGTACAATTTAGATTATATAACGGCTGGTTTTCTGTAGCGTGGTTGTGTTTGCATCTTGTTCTCCTGATGAATATTTTTCGCAATCCTGTGTGCATAAATTTGTTGGTGGTCGATCAAAAATTTGTTATTAATTTAGAAATACAACATGTACAATGCATTAATAATTTACAACATAGTTATATTTTCTGATGTGTAAAAACAATCCCAAACTTCTTAACTCCCTATTTATACGTAAATGTTATCTTGATGAAACCAAAAAAAAAAATAAAAATAAAACTCGAAACTCGTTTTACATGTGATTTATCTATATTTATAGATTATTTATCATTATTTACCAAGAAATTTACTAATACATTCTTGTTATATAATATAGCCCATATACAGTATCTACTTCATAGACAAATTAGTTCACAGAGAATACCAGAAACGTGAGTACCAAGAATGTGAATGGATGGTTTTACTGAAGAATAAATCGGAAGCAAAATCTTAAAGCTGATTGGTATTGGCACAAAGCATATTTTTCTCATAGCACATCATTGCCTGTTTTTATGTGATGCAAAATTTCTAATTTAAAATATTGCTAATGCTAAAGTGAGAATTAATCCTGGATGATAGTTTCCTCCTGCATAATGCAGTCCGGCTGTTAATATGGAAATGTGAATAACAGAATTTAGTGTTTATTTTAAACATGTCAGATTTCTGGGAGAGAAAAATTGGGTTGCAAATGTGGCTTGCTTTTATAGCAGAAATTACTGTTCTTGGCGTAGGTGTTTGGAGCTTCCTTTTACTTGTAATTCGATCCTTGTATCAATTCTGCTTTGGTATAGTACTTACTTTATGTGAAAAGTGATTTATGAATTTCGGTACTATGTAATTGATTCTCACATGCTATCTAAACAAAGCTCATAATCAGCTACTATCCTTGACCATGTGGGTGAGGTGCTCACAGTCTTGCTTAGCTATCTTTCAATCTGTTATATATATATATATCAACTTGAGAATGAATGCTACTTTAACTGACTCGTTGTTTGGTGCTCTATTCTATCGAATAATTTAAAAATTGAAGTCTTTATTGGATAATATCAAAATAAATTGGCAAATAGCATAATTAGCACAATTGAGAAAAAAAAAAGTAAATTAGTGAGACAGCTATTACTACTTATTCATAAATGATAACTTAACATACAACTTAGTTAACAGACAATCAATTCACCGGCAAGAATATTTAAAGGTGATTAACTCACAAGTTTATTTCATAGATGTTATTTCACAAATAGTTTGTTTCACAAAGTAATTTTATGTAGAGTTAGAGCTAAGACAAGTCTGTTACAGCTAATACTAAAAAGAATAAACCTATTTTAATAAGAAAACTTGAAATTTGAGTATTTTTTTAAGTGTTTTTTTTTTTGTTTTAGAATTATCCAAGAATAAAAGTAGCTGCATAGCACATTATACTCTACAAAATCAAAGCTAGTAAGCCTATTTGATTATAATAAAAGACTTAGACTTGCTAACTGAAATGATACAAGTAAATAGAAATATAGCATTTTATTATCTGTATTTGTTAATTACTGTAATGATAATATTTCAATTCGATACTACTAAAACTTAGTATTATTAAATTATTATCAAAAGTTGCATAAATTGGATCATATAAGTATAATGTTATACAAACTACAAATTTTTAAAATCTTATTCAAACCCAAATTCCATGTGGAAAATCCTGAATCCCAAACTGAACAAACTCTATTTGGGCTATCATAATTCCAAATCCGGGCCAAAAAATCTCAAACCTTATCTCAAATTCTAAATCTCATTTCGAATTTCAGATTCCAAATCTTTATTCCATATTCCAAATCTCAAATTTTTGAATCTAAAATTTTAATCCAAATTTTATACTAGAATATATTTTGTACTAGAGTTAATACTCAATCCGGGATAGGTTTTTTATATCCTGATTAATCCGGTTTTATTATAGAATAAATCTGGATTTATATTTATAGCTATTATCATAATCTGTGAAAATTTGCCCAAATGATTTTTCAGCCGATCCGGTTAAGTTATTGATTCGGCATGATCCATATAATAAAATAATTAATAAAAGCTATTAATGTATCATAATGATCATTTTACGATTGTCATAACAATAATATAAATTTTCTTGTTCAACATTCTTGTACGACATTGGTCTAATTACAAACATAGTGCAGGTGATCTAATGATGATCACTAATCAAGATTTTTTATAGTAAAAAACTTTTGGAGTAGAAATTCAATATTAAAGATTATAGGAAATAACTTTAATTCCTTACAGAAAATATAATATTGTTTAATTAAAGATGTCTTTACAATATAACAATGTTAGACAAATTTTTTTACACAACTCTTTCCGATGATCACCTGCACCAAAATTTTGAAGAGAAGAAAACTAACTTTACAGCACAAAAGTATTAGTTAGTATAGTTTCGGGTCATAGTAAAAAAGATAGAGCACGGAAAGATACACTAGTGTACCAAGTTTGAAAGAAACCGAACAACAAGAAAGTACTTTAGCTTTAGGTTTCTACATTTTTGGCAAATAGTTTTTGAAAATTTGGGGAATTGTAGTATATGTAAACAGGTAAATGAATAAACAAACAAATATATTACCATTTGCAGATAAATGCAGGTATTACAAAATAGTATAAAAAAACAACTTAGTCACATAAGCTACGTTTGCACTTACATAACAAACAAAAATCAATTAACGTCCTCTAAAGTAGAATGAGAGCAAAAAATAGAAATATACAAAAACCTTTTTGCAAAGTCTCTAGAGAAATTTAATGCAGTTAAGAATAAATATAAGAACAAAATTCTAAGAAAAGACAGAGAGGTAGCTAAAATAGCGGGAACAAAACCACAGCTAATATGCCTCTTTAGAAATATAATTGAGCTATATGACTGGTTAGAGTTTCTTAGAGTTAAGATTGCTAACAAAAACCAAACAGTAAAGCCTGAAGAAGTACTCAGGATAAAAGAAGTTTTAAATAAACAAGAATATGGCTATGTAGATTATAGAGTCTTAGAGAAATTAAAATATAAATAATTACAAGCCATTATATAAACAAATAAAGCTAAGCTTAACTCTACAAGAAGCTTTAGTAAAAGAAAAGCCAGCAGTGAATGAAGAGCCTCTAAATGAAAACAAAGAACCTCTCATGCCCAAGAACGAAAGAACAAATCTTAGTCAAGAGAATGGGCACTCATTTTTTGAGGAAAACTGAGAAGAAGAGGCAAAATATATACAAAAATTAGTAAAAGCACGAAAAAAAGTGTTTCCACAAGAATGTTTTACACTTTGGAATATTCTACTTGATATAAAAGCAATAAGAATATGAAAGTGCTTCTAGTTTTATAGCCAGGTTCAATTTAAATGTTGGAAACTTCTTAGAAAAAAGAAAGCAGTATCTTTTATTGTAACTTTTTGAAATAAAAGAAGAAAAGCTCTATTAGAAAAGCATAGGCGGTACACTTTGAGGAAGAAAAAATGTTAAGAATATCAAAGGGTGATTTTGCAAGAGACATTATTGAGAATAGAGCAGAGTATAAGGCTATAGTCAAGAACATCCCAAAGACAGCACTAAAAACAATACTTTTGAAGCAGTTGAAGGTAATTAAAGCACAGACAGTATATATATCAGATTTGTCGACCAAATTTGTGTTTTAATCAAATTCATATATTTTGATCTATCATTAATAACTTGCAATATAGTAATTTAGTCTTGATAATTTTGATACTACCGTATAGTTCCGAAATTAAGCACCTCTTTTTTGTTATAAGAGGTGCTTATTTTCGGATATAATTTTAAGAATAAATAATATAGGGTTTTAGTACTAAGTAAACTTACCTTCTGTTTCTAAGTAAAATTATTCTCCAGGCAAAGACGATTCTAACGGCAGTAAAATCATCAACATTGGTTCAGTAGAACTCCCACAATTGCTCTTTAAAATTCGGGCGACGTTTGTTTACATTTGCTTTACATGATCTGTATACTCGTAAACAAAAGTCGCCCGAACTTTGAAGAGCAATTGTGAGAGTTCTACTGAACCAATTTTGATGATTCTACTGCCGTTAGAATCGTCTTGATCTGAAGAATAACTTTACTTGGAAACAGAAAGTAGGCTTGCTTAGTAAAAAAAATTAGATACGATTATATATAGGGGGTGCTTATTTTCAGATATTATATAAAATTTGATGGTGCTTAATTTCGGGGGGGTGCTTAATTTCGGAACTATACGGTATTTGAATTCTTACAGTAAGAGGATTCGAATGGTATCAAAATTATCAAAATTGAATTACTATATTATAAGTTATCAATAATAGATTAAATATATGAATTTGATTGAAACATGAATTTGGTTGACAAATCTGATATCTCACAATAGCAACAAAAATCAAAGAAGTATAGCTTCAGTATTTTTTAAATTAGAGAAGGATTTGTATGCAGCTCTAGGTAAAAGGGTTTATTACTACAATACAAAATTGGAATGAGTAAAGAGCAAAAAGGTTGAAAAGAAGAACTGTAGTATATACAGAAATGACTCAGCAAACATAGAAGAGAAACCATTACGAAGGGGTATAAGAGAAGTAGAACCCTTAGATGCCCTGGAAAAAAAGAAAGTAGACAACTTTTGTGAAAATAAGGAGAATAATGATCCAACAAAGCAGCAGCTTAAACAAAAGAATAAGTCCAAGGTCAAGCAACTAGAAATAATTGGTCAAGATAAAAAAAAAAAAGCCTATAGAAATTAAAGACATGCTGACAAAAATACTAGGCAGATTAGAAA